AAAAAATTACTGGGACTTAGTTAAAATATTTAACTTTGCCCCAATAAAATTTTCTCGTTGTGAAATATTCAATGTGAGCCTCATTCATTCGAATGTTGGCTTTGGGATAATACAGCATGCATAAATAACTCGTCTGTCTTAATTGAAAAGGTTTCAGAAAATATGGACTTAGAAAAAAAAATGATCTGAAAGGACTTAAAAAAAAAAAAAAATCGAAAGAATTATAATCAGAAAATTTGGACTTAGAAAAAAAAAATATCTGAAAGGACTTAGAAAAAAAAAAAATTATTCGAAAGAATTAAATCAGAAAATTTGGACTTAGAAAAAAAAAATATTTGAAAGAATTATTTAATTAATCGATGATATGATGTTAATTGAATCCAAAAAATTATCTTAATCGAATCAAAATTGTTGATATGACTTGATGAAAATGTGAAACCTTTACAATTAATCGAGACACAAACAAATATAATTGATTTGAATTCAACAAAACTTTAAAAATGTAAATTAATAATTATTTGAAACAAACTAGAATTGTAAAAACTTTAAAAATTATTCATTACTTTAAAACGTTTCAAAATCAAATAAAAAAGGATTTAAATTTAAATATTGAATGAAATGACGAAAATGTTTTGTTTTATTCAAATCAACTCTTTCAACCTTTAATCAAACTGCATCAACTCGAATAATAAAATAATTACATTAGAAGAACAAAAGTATAAATATTGAGAAAATGTCTCTTAAACATGTAGCCAAAGCAATTGTGTAATAATTAGTTTAATAATATTTAGTGCAAACTTATTCGACTATTGTATTTATATAAAAATCTATCAAGTTGATGCAGTATTAATTAAAGAGTTATCATCAATAAGAATGAATGTGCATGCAGTCACTATCGCCACAGGGAAAACACATGACTCTTGATAATAGTAATGTAATCCAAAAATTCATGTAACAATGTAAAACATCTCTTTAAAATGTAATGATACCAGCTAACAACATCCACAAGGTGTTGTAAAAAAGATAAATTTGTAATAAGTAACTTTTCCTTTATAAAACAGACAAAATTCCTTGCTAACGTGAGATATATTTGCTGTTGAAATGTTATCCG